CAATTACTATTCACTTAAATTTATTTTTTATTTTTTATACTTAAAACATTGATTTTGATAAGCTTTTCGGATAAGATTTTCAATTCCCAAGTGTTAATATTTATCGTAAAATCCTCACCTAAAAATCAAGATAACATTTTCGGATAAAATTTTGAAATTAAATTGGTGTGGAAAGTGAATAATATTGGTAGGTATGTATAGAAAAAATTTCCAGAATTTTTTGATATTTTTTTAAATTTTTTTTGATATTTTTTCAATTTTTTTTAGCCAAAAATTGAACAACCGTTGGATTGTGCAAGATTTTTTGATCGGAGGCTCCAGAAGAAGCCACATGGCTTGTAATCATTGGGCAATGTGGGCTAGTGGGTCCAACAGTAAAAAAAAAATTGAAAATCAGCCGTGCGCGGCACGCCCTGTTAGCCTTGCCATTTGTAGTTCCACCCATGAGGGCTAAGTCAAGGGCAAGTCTAAGGCAATTACTATTCACTTAAATTTATTTTTTATTTTTTATTCTTAAACCATTGATTTTGATAAACTTTTTGGATAAGATTTTCAATTCCCAAGTGTTAATATTTATCGTAAAATCCTCGCCTAAAAATCAAGATAACATTTTCGGATAAAATTTTGAAATTAAATTGGTGTGGAAAGTGAAAACATTTAGGTTTCGTTTCATATGAAATGTGATGATTTGGGATAATAATCCTATATCATTATTATAGTTAGAACCCTTTATAATTATTTCCAACGGTGGAGAAGACATAGAGTATGCTACTTTATGTGGATTTGTTAATGCCCACTTGACACCCCTATTGGCAATGAAAATTTTAGGAATTAAATTATTGGAGTGACAAATCCATACCCACGTCTTAGTGGGGTTCATTTGGCATTGTAGTTCAACAATCTGAATCGCTTTTTTAAGTCTTCATTTATATATTATTCTTTAAAAAAAATAGACAAATTAATTCTTAACAATTCAGACATCTAATTGTGATGAAATACAGAGATAATTTTTTCTTCAAAAAATACTAAACATCATATGGTGTGTATATTTCAACACCATTTTAGTGCAGCGGTGGACATGCTCTAAGTCTAAGGCAAGGGCAAGCAAGGGCTGCAACTATTCACGTGAATAGTGTCAGCCTTTGCATTTGTGGTTCCACCTATGACGGCAAAG